ATTGGTATCTGGGGGTTTTCCAGGTCGGAGGTTATGATTTCTTCATCAAAATTAGGAAATTCAAAATGGCGGATCCAATATGGCGGACGTGTTTTCTAATTATGATCAGATTCTATGCAAAATTGGTATCGGGGGGGTTTTCGGAGTCGGAGATAATGATTCTTTCATCAAAATCTGGAACTCCAAGATGGCAGATTTAATATGGCGGACGAGTTTTGTAACTATGATCCGATTCCACTCCAAATTTTTATGTGGGGGATTTTAGGATCGGAGATTATGATTCTTCATCAAAATTAGGAAATTAAAGATGGAGGATCCAATATGGCAACTGAGTTTTGTAATTATGATCCAATTCTATTCAAAATTTGTATCTGGGTGTTTTCGGGGTCGGAGAAGAATTAGAAAACAAAATAATAAAAGTATGTTGATAAATATTCAACTAAAAAAATATTTTCTAGAAATAATTGTATATAGCAAAACAACGTTTGGTGGGTATCAGCAATTGTAATAAATATTAGTTTGAAAAACTAATGAAACACCTTTTTATAGATAGCCAAACTAAAAAGAAGTGAGTAGAAAATGAATAGAATATAAATAGAGTAGTTTGAAGAACTAAAGAATCCTGCTTTCATTGATTGACAAACTAAAAAGAAGTAGAAATAAAAGTTTTCTGATAAATATTTATCTAAAAATATTTTTCTAGAAATAATTTTTATGGCAAAACAACGTTTGCTGGGTCAGCTAGTTCCTTATAATATTGCCATTTGGGGATGTTTCTCAAAACTCAGCAAAATAATAATAATAATAATAATAATAATAATAATATCATTTATTGATCTATACAAGAAACAACTCAATATAATATATGGTATATAGTGTGACTATAGTATAAATGATGCGATAATCGATAAGCATGTTCATGCTTGTTTCGATAAAAATAAATACAAATACAAATACAAATATAAATATAAATATAAATACAAATACAAATAAATACGTAGTAGCGTGTACGAAAATATGTGTACATAAAAAGAACCTCAAAAGTAGGGATAAAGGAAAACCGTACATTTTATACTGTACTTTTAATAAAAGAAAATCACACCTAATATTATAGTTGTAATTCTCTTTTATCCGAGCTTTAAATGAAAATTTGTCAATGTAGGTACTGATTTTCCTCAAAAATCATATAAAATATTATGAACATATTATTACTGAAAATCGAACAAAATTAAAATAAGAACTATTTTTCAAAAAGAATGTATAAACAGTGTTGGAATAGAAATTAGCACAAGACATACGAGAAATATAGATGTATTTCAGTTTTTTAATTCAATTAAATCCCGAATTGATTTTCTAGGCGAATCATAGATGAACTTTTTCAATCTGTTTTTGAATATTGTTTGGATGGCAATGCGTCTCACAAAAAAGGGTAATATGGCTAATATATGGAATAGACTACAGAGAATATTGTAGGCAACACTTTAATGAGAATAAAATCTTGTGTGTACCTTGCATTCATATTTACCAATGTATTTCATTATTCAGGAAGCAAATCTGTGACTTTCAGAAGTATCTTATCAGGCACGGTGAATTCAGTGAATTGATAAGACTTCAGAAACATTCAACTCGTTTGTATGAAAATTGTCCATCTTATAAGAGAGCAAAATTCTATAATCACTTATCTGAGGAAATAAAAAATGTACACAGATGCTCAAAGAATTTCTGATTAACGGTTGATTCTATAGTATCGACGAATATTTCAATCTATGTAATGCATTTCATATATCTTTATATACAGTGTGGTCATTTGAGTGTGCAACATATGGGAATCTTTTTAATGAATTGCACGAGCAAAATACTGATAACGCCGAAAGTTGGTGCATGTTCGGTAATCATTTTAGGTGCACTTAAAATGGTTGCAAGTCACACAGCATACAGGGTAGGTCAAAAAATACAAAAATTGCTCAAGATTAAAGTACCCTTATTTCAGAAAATTCAGTAAAATGATATAGGGAAAAGTTTTTTACAATTGAAAGTTATGCCTAAATACCAAAACATGGCCTCCTAAGACAGTTTTTAGTTTTTCAATTTTGTTGGTGAATAATTTCCCAATTTGTAATTTTTTCTATATTCACTCTGAATACTTTCATGAGTTAATCAGAACAAAATCAGTTGAGCATACCTTCGTTCAAATTCAAGCATATTTGTGCAATTAACTTGAATTTTAATGTTTTTAGGGAATCACAAACTTTATGTTTGTTGCAACGATATTCAGCTTAACTTTCAAATTTCGCAAACCATATTTTTAACAAGGTGAAACATCATTAATGATACTATGCACATTCAAAAACTTCCATTTTATGTGAACATTTTGTATTTGAAATATTACAAATTGGGAAATTATTCATTCCCAATTTTTGTCCCCAAGCTACTGACGCGTAGGTCGATATGGGCAGGAGACCTGTTTTCATAAGCAGGAGTTTCAGATCCAGTCTCATTTGGCTCTTGCGTCCTATGAGAGGAGACAGATGCGCTCTGGCTCTGGTTCTGAACGTCATCCTCTTGTCTATCTCTACTCCCAGATACTTGGCAGAGCTTGTCCATTGCACATTCTGGCCACCTATGGGGTTTTGGCGTATGTGTCTAATCAGGATGGCCTGGCATTTTTCTGGGTTTATCTGTATCTTCCATTTGGTACACCATTCTTCCAGTTCATCAATGATCCTTTGCAGGCGTCTAGTGATGTATTCTGGGTTTCGGGATCTGGTTGCTATTGCAGTATCGTCCGCATACAATGACAGGGTTCAATGTCTATTGTTATTTGGGATGTCTGAGGTGTATATGGAATATAGATGTGGGCTTAGTACTGTTTATACTATACTATATTCATCTATGTGTGAAGTGCAAAGTGCATCTCCACCGTTACCACCGATACAACAAGGCCTGCATGCTCCGTGGGTGACGTCACTTAGTGAGGCCTAACCAGCGGCTCGAAACGACAAGCGCTTATAGCGCTATAAGGCGACCGCGTATTTCGATTTTAGTTTTAGATCATCATTGAGCCGATTTTGCTGTTTTTTGAAGGGCTTCTGGTTAAAAAAGGATGCCAGTCGTCACCTGAGCCCTTCTTCGCACCCCATTCGATTTTATTATGGAAAAACGAAGTTTTAAAGCAAAAACCAGGATAAAACACAAATATCCACCTACAGCAACCCATTCGAATTAAATATATTGGCAAAAATTGTGGTGAAGGTAAACTTCACACCTACTTATACAGGGCCCGCAGAACATAAACTTATCGTGAGATTGATCGAAAGAAAATTGTGGAAAATGTATTTTATTTTGATTGACATGCCGTTTGTTACAATTACCTATATTTATCTTGGAGAATTCCTATTACCTGAAAAAATAACCAGTGAGTGTTTTCAATTTTCTGTTGTTGGATTTTTCACCCAAGTGGATCGTTACACTTGAAACCGTAATTTTCAAGGGTAAAACTGCATTTATCATGCGATGGTTTTTTTTTTGAAAATTTTTTCGGTACTCACGTATTTTTGTCTGATAAACCGAATTTTATAATGAAAATGTGAACAAACCTATTTATTGAAATATTTCAAGAAAAAGTTCGAAATTTCGCCTTCTTTCTCCCCTTGTGTTGGAGGCATTTGAAGCTACTTGCTCTTATTTTGTCATTGGACACTTTATATACTCATGATGTACTTCGATGGCACATTTTTATGTAGAAATTTCAACAGGAAATATGATTTTTATGGCGAGTTTTTCATATTTAGTGATCAAGCAATCCAGATGACGACCATTTAATCAATAGTCAATCAAAATACGAGATGTCAAATGTCAATAGATTGCTTTCGAATGACATTACAGACGCCATTATTTTGAATGATATTACTAAATATGGATTAATCTCAAGAAAATCATATTTATTGTTGAATTATATATAAATTGTCCAATATGATGAAAAAAGAAAGGAAATTTGTTCTAAATGCCATCCAGAAGACAGGTGAAGAAGAAGGTGACATTTGGAAATTTTTAGTCAAATATCTTCATGATAAAGATCATGATAAATGCAGTTTTACCTTTTTATGTAGAGTTTTTGTAGTCCATGTTAATATGAAAGTTGCAATTTGATCATTGGAATGAATTCTGCATTCATTGCCACGAGGCAAATGAGAATTAAAAATGCCCGTTTATTATGAATATTCAAGAAAATTTCCTCGAATTTAGAGATGATTTTGTTGACTATAATATACGAATACAAAACTAGCTGCACAACCAAAGTTTTTCTATTTTTCCTCTACTTATACTTTTTATGAGAGAGTAATTGTGTTCTATTATTAATTCATCATTATAAATTAAGCTCTGTTTACTACTGAACTTAGATGGAGTAAAATCCTCGCGGTGAATTGCATATACCCACCTTTTTCGATAGCTCCTCGTCCAACGGGAAACTAAAAGCATGAACTTTTGAACCACCCACATAATTCCCCCGACAAAAAGGAACACAACACTTGAAAGGCATTGTTATTTCGCCGATCACAACACAAAATATTTCACAAAACAGTAATTTTTCCGCCAATTATTTTGATGAATAAACAACAAAAGAATTCGGGACCGTTTCAAAAACATACGTGAATCACCGATGAATTAACACGAATCGACAAACGATAAAATAAAACACTGGCCTCTCTTGGTGACGTCACGAGCTGTTTACTTCAGAGTCTGCTGGCCTTGTTGTATCGGTGGTAACGATCTCCACCCAGATTATCTTTGAAATTATCATTTAAAAATATAGGGGTGGTATTCTGTATTGTTTTTCTCATTAGATTATTCTAATAACCGTTTTTGGCCAAAGGTGCGCACTATGACTTATCGTTTCTTTGTGAATTTCAACTGAGCCACATTTTAAAAGAATCAAAATATGAAATTCATAGGGTCTTGGCCGTTAATGGGTTAAATGCATGAAATTGACAATGTTCCAGGGGTGGCGAATGTGTCGCCTAGCGAGAGTTACTGGAGCCAATTGGACGCACAAGGCGTTCGCAATGCCGTCAACATGGTGAACGGCATGTCCGTGAACGGGCTCGGCGAAGTGTCCATGGACACGACGCAGACCTTGCTGAACAACAATCTGATGGCCAGCAATCTCATCGCTTTGGTGGACCCGCAGCACATGGCAGGTGAGTGTGACGGGCGGATTTTTATAGGAATGGGGAAGTTTCCATAAGACGAATTTTCATGAAATAAGTTCGGAACTCTCCAGTTTCATGTCCACGCTGTACAGAATGGCGACCGATAAAGTCCAAGTCGTTTTCATTTTCAAATTGAAGCAATTTCTAATTGTCGGGGCGGCAAACTGTGACGTACATTCTGAATCTAGTCTGAAAATAGCTGATGGTGAATGTGAATTATATTTAGTTTTTTTTTAATTTTTCTGGCCCACCCTGTATATCGAATAGAGCTCGATACGTCGGATGTATGGTTTGTCAAGTCACCAATTATAATCAAGTTATCAAAAAGTTGTTAGTGCCTTACCGCTGAATTAAACTACATCCAAATTAACCCATCAACGCCTACCGTCCTTTTTAAAGGACTTCAAAACGAAACCTTAATTTTTCCGATTCAGCTGACAGTTTGAAGATGTGGCTAGTGTCACATTATATTTAGTTCACATCTTAAACAAGGTTATTCACGATCGATAGGATTTTATCAAGTTTTTGATCGATAGTGACGGTTGAAAATCACTGTGTTTCTAGGGTTTTTGCAAATAGTGACTCAAGGTAAGACGTGTTGAAAATCGTTCATCTTCTCGTTGTTGTTTTGATTATTTTAAACAAATAACATAATATACTTACTTTTTTATATTTGTAGTTATGTTTCACAATTCTTGATCAATCCAGGGTCATCAATTGAACGAGTCCTTTCAAAAGGACGGTAGGAGTATATGCTACTAGGCGGTTTTTTGGACAGGTATTGGAAAAATCCACTAAACATAGCAGAGCTCTTAGAGAAATCGGAGAATGACTCTACGTCGGGACATTCCTACAGGCATTATAATTTTTAAGTACCAACGGAAACTGCGATACCAATAAAGATTCTGGGGCTGAAGACGATGTAGTTCCAAATAATTTAGCCGGAGTGCAACTATGGGCCCCTGCGGAAATTGAATTTGACGTGGAAGGTGATGACGACTGGAACAATGATGATGACTGGGATATTGATGACGATCTATCATTGTTCACATTTGTTGAAAGGCGACCTAATCTCAGAAATACGTTTGACTAAACTATCAATGAAGAATTAGATTCTACATTCATGCAATGGCAACCAGTTCGAACTATACCAAGCAATCGTTCCACTGGAAATATTTTCAAACTGTTTTTTGATGGAAATTTTGTAGGAGAAATTGTCAATTTTAGCAATATTCATGTACAGCAAAAACACCACCTGGTAACATTACTGCAAAAGAGATGTACTGCTTCATAGGGGTCTTGGATATACAACTACTCTTTTCAACAGCCTGAATAAAAAGTTTTTGATTATGCCGCACTTGACGAGAATCACAGCTTTGATGAGGCTATGAGACCGTATTTTGTGAGACATAGCGGTAAGCAATTTATAAGAGGCAAGCCTTATGAGGTGGGGGTATAAATTTTGTGTAGGTAACCTACACATTGGATACATTGTTTATTTTGATCCCTACCAATTCCGGACAAATATAAACACATAGGTTTGGGATCGTCAGTTGTTCTCCAATATGCAGATGTTTAACAGGAAATGCCTTACCAGCCCTTTCACTTATTTTTTGACAATTTTTTCACAAATTTGTCACTTCTAAAGAAGCTAAAATTTTGCTAAGCATTTTGTAACATAATAATATAAAAATAGTTTCAAATCTTTATTTTTTTATTTTTCTAATGATAACCCTTTATCCCACCGTCCTACTAAAAAGACCGCTGTTTTTTTCAAGCAACTATCTTGTTAAAATATTTTTTATACTTCATAACATGAATTATTGAAACACAACCTCACTTTTTTATTTGGTTACAGAGGAATCAAAGGATTGAAATTTTTCACAATATTATGGCAAACGAATCGTGTTTTTTCATTAATTCAAGCATGCCTTGTTGTACAATGCACAAAAAATGCAGCGAGAGACGAAGGAATATGATATTTCAGGTAAATAGTAATCTCACATAGTTATCATTATGAAATGTTGTCATTCCTTATTAAAATTCCTTCTGCTACTTCTGCAATACAAGCTAATACTGCTAATAGATTGAAAATGTCTACAACACACACGATCATATTTCGTCAGCATGTCAGAACGGTGTCGCGTCAATTGGACGTGGAAAATTGGACGCACGATTATTGGTCGCAGTCAACTGGTCGCGTCGACAATTGGACGCGGCGACAATTGGACGCGGCGACAATTGGACGCGGCGACAATTAGACGCGGCGTCAATTAGACGCGGCGACAATTCGACGCGGCGACAATTCGACGCGGCGACAATTGGACGGATGCGTAAATAAAGATAATTTTATAATTCCAATGAAATTCATTGTATAAAATATGAAATACTGACTTATATCCATAATTATAACAAATACCTATGGCCTCGTTTGACAATTATTTTCCTATCTCATATCGTAATATGAATTTACGATACGAATATAGTACAATATTTTACCTACTACCAAAAACGCTGATTATTTAATCAAATATGAGGGTTGGGTTAGGTTAGGTTAGGTTAGGTTAGGAGTTATATTATAGATATGAGCCCTGCATATTCCATGCAATAAATTTCATTGGAATTATAAAATTATTTTTATTGTCGCCGCGTCCAATTGTCGCCGCGTCCAATTGTCGCCGCGTCCAATTGTCGCCGCGTCCAATTGTCGCCGCGTTCAATTTTCGTGCGTCCAATTGACCACGTCCAATTGTCGGTAATCCGTACAACAGCACAATGTGATGGCATGACCGAATTAAGGAGTAGCTAAAAAATACGATTCGTATGCCAAAATAATTGTGAAAAACTATTTCAATCACTTGTAAACAAATAAGAAAAGTGAGATTGTGTTTTAATGTTGTTCCTCCAGGGTCGGCCATCTGACAGATCTTGCACGCAACCCATTGTTATTGTCCCCCTTTTCCCTTCCCCAGACGCCGCCCAACCCAACATCCACCCAGGCTGCATCTCGAGCACGGGCCGCGGTCGACTCGCCAATGCCGCCGCCCTCGCTAGCCCCACCTCCACGCATACCGCCCAGCTGATAGGCGGCGCCATCTCGCCCTCGCTCTTCACCTCGCCCGCCCCCCACCACAACCTGCCGCCTCACGCGCCGCAACCTGTCGTCATGGCCAACTATCCGATCAGCGCCAGCCTGATGATCGGGGACTACGTGAAGCCGACGCCGGCTAATGGCGTTTATAGACAGTAGATGGCGTTGGGATTGGTTGGTTAGTGTGAGGGTTTCGTTTTTCGGGGTTATTTATTTGACTACTTACACCCATGGTGGAATTAGTATGGTGTGCTACGACGCATCTTCGTATACGTCACTGGGAGTAAAACAATTGCTAGTAGTCTGAGCTCACAGTTATCAGTTCGCCCGAGTCGCTGTGATCATTTTGGTGCGAGTATAGACTCGCAATGACATGCGCAGAAAAGACGAATTCAAGATACCTGAGTAGCACACCATATATATTTCCACCATGCTTACACCCAATGAACTCAATATAGTGTTTATATTGAGTTCATTGCTTACACCTCTTACAGTTGTGTCTCGGATTGTATGCGCCACAATGTTTTTTCTCAATGGTCACTTGCATTCACCAAACGAAACAATGATTGAAGAACTTGGGATCAGAAGGAGACAAGCCACAAAATGTAGATTCGGAAGAATCGCATGTTCTTCCCTTATTTTCTAATCGTGAAATCCATATAATTTTTCGAAACTGAGCTTAACATTTGTTGTCAAATAAAGTCATTGTTTCTTGAACCTAACCAGGCAAACCAGGTTTACAGTTTACTTGTGGAGCTTGACAGTTCTCAGTTTGTCAGCTGTAGTTATTTATTTGTAGTTTTCCTGTTTGGTTCAAGTAGTCATATATTGAATGAGAAATGCATCATTTGTAACATAAAGATACTACAGATAGATATTACATTTGTATAGTTACTTACCTACTTCATCTAAATCTGAGATACATTGATCAACTAGCTATACTTGCCTATTTTTTCATAATTATCCCATTAAAAGGGTACGCACCGCAGCCCGTCGTCATGGCCTACTATCCGATCAGCGCCAGCCTGATGATCGGGGACTACGTGAAGCCGACGCCGGCTAATGGAGTTTATAGACAGTAGATGGCGTTGGGAATGGTTGGTTAGTGTGAGGGTTTCGTTTTTCGGGGTTATTTATTTGACTACTTACACCCGTGGTGGAATTGGTATGGCGTGCTATGACGCATCTTCGTATACGTCACTGCGAGTAAAACAATTGCTAGCAGTCTGAGCTCACAGTTATCAGTTCGCCCGAGTCGCCGTGATCATTTTGGTGCGAGTATATACTTGCAATGACGTTATGCGCAGAAAAGAGGAATTTAAGATACCTGAGTAGCACACCATATACAGGGTCGCTGAAATGTATGGAAACAGATAAATATGTCGGTAAAATGCTGTTAGTATTCTTTGAATTTATGTACAGTGTGATTTCAAAACGTGGCGAATTTGAAAATGTTATAGCCAATGTAGCCACTTTTTCAGTTATTCTGGATTTTTTTGTAACTTCCTTATTTTATTGGATTTTCAGATTTTCCTTGAAGAGCTGATTCCATCGATTTATCACACTTGGGGTCTAGCGGAAATGATTACATAGGTATAGGGTGTTTGAAATCTAGATTTTTCTTTAGGATTTTTTGTGTCGAAACTATCCATTATCGATTAAAACTGCTCCAATGTTCCTATATTTACTTTTGATTTACTATCTAATGACATTTAGTTGGAACAGATACAAAGGGTCGGTGATCGAAATTCTGAATCTTGAACCATCACCCTGTATTTGTTTCAATTAAATGTCAGTAGATAGTAAACCAAAACTAAAGATGGGAACATTGCAGCGGTTTTGATCGATTATCAGTAATTTCGATACAAAAAATCCAAAGTTGGAAAATCTAGATTTTAAACTCCTTATACCTACGTAATCATTCCCGCTAGACCCCTAGCGTGATGGATTGATGAAATCAGCTCTTCAAGGATAATCTGAAAATCCAATAAAGTCCAGGGTGTTTCATTCAGAATAAGGAAGTCACAAAAAAATCTGGAATAACTGAAAAAGTGGCAACATTGGCTATAACATTCTCAAATCCGCAACGTTTTAAAATCACACAGTACATAAATTCAAAAAAATCCAACAACAGGTTACCGAGATATTCATCTGTTTCCATACATATCAGCGACCCTGTATATTTCCACCATGCTTACACCCAATGAACTCAATATAGTGTTTATATTGAGTTCATTGCTTACACCTCTTACAGTTGTGTCTCGGATTGAATGCGTCACAATGCTTTTCTCAATGGTCACTTGTATTCACGAACGAAACAATAATGGAAGAACTTGGGACCAGAAGGAGACAAGCCACAAAATGTAGATTCGGAGAAATCGCATGATTTTCCTTATCTTCAAATCGTGAAATCCATATAACTTGTATTTTTCGAAACTGAGCTTAACATTTGTTGGCAAATATACAGGGTGTTGCGAAATTCGACCGACAAAGCTTGACAGCGGTGATAGGCCTTATGGTTGAGAAATTGTGAAAAATTGTATGTAGGTATTCAAACGGTAGGGCATATGCCTCTTCTTTTAATCCTCCGTTTTAATCTTCTAAAATGCATTCAAGAATTTGTGTAGTGGATAATTATAGGCACAATGAGAAAGTATTATACAGTATGATGCAAATGTATGGAATAAATTCATTTCAAAACAAGGCAACTTTCGAAAAAAAAAACAAAAACTAGAGTTTAGAACTTTTTTTTTTCGACGTATTTTTTTAACTAGACGACCCTTCAATGTTCAATTCTCAGTAGCAGACCTCTGCTAGATTCAATTAATCACATGATAATCCATTTTAATTTCAATCTTCTTATGCAACATTTTGACTGTTGAATAGACGATCGGCAGACCTTTCAATCAAGGTGTCACATGACCCCTATTTGTATTTGAAAAAATCGTCCATTACGTCTTTACTCCAACACCGGTGACGTAACATCTCTCATATGAATATCATGAGATGAGACTTCAGAAATTAAAACTCACGTGTTTTTGGAATTTTTTCAAATATCGTCCATTTCTGAAATAATGAATTTATTCCATACATTTGCATCATACTGTATGTGATTTCGTATTAGTTTTACCTCAAATATTTTGCTGATGTATTTACCAATTTTCCCCATTCAGTCACTTTACTCTCCATGTTCTAAGTTCATTTGCAATTGATGGAGAGCTGACAAATTCAAATTTGCCTCTCAACTGATTGATACAGCCTAACGCAGCACATTTCACCATCCTTCCAAAACAGAATTGAATAATGTAGTATTAAGATAAAGTATGAAATTAAAATTTTGTAAGATCTCTTTTAACGCCTATGAATGTGACGTGACAGCAATGTCAGGTCAGGGACGCCAATACACGAAACCAAAGTCACTAGATGATTAAAACAGAAAGGAGCTATGATCTGTAACCTGAGTTCTTCAGTTTGGTCTACTCATTTTTGACGAAATTGTTGCTCATCCCCCTCTGGTTTCAAGTCCTTCAATAATCGTATTTCTGAGTATTCAATTTAATTTCAGTAAGCCTCAATTGTTTTTCATAATAGTCACTTGATTACAGAAAGTATCAAGTGTGTTTCAGAATTCCAAAATTTCTTCTCTATGAGTAATTTTATTATGATTGCTAACATGATATGAGTTGATAGATGGTATCACATCATTGTTTCCATAACTACTTGAATTTACCAGGAGTTTGGTCAAAGTGGTCATCAATCAAAATGACATCGTGGTCAAAACGCGGTCCAAATAGTGGCAAACAAAAAGTCTCCTATTTCATATTGTGAGGTTGGCTGCAGATGTGTCAGATGTCAAAAGTCATTTAAATCGGCGCTACTGTCAGAAATATTGTACTTTTTTTCAGATCAAAAACTGTTGAGTTTTTAGTTATCGAGAATAAGAGCAAGATCAACTCCTTGGACTCAAACAGATTATAATAAACATTGACAAAAGACAATGAATTCGACAAATACACTCAACTCGACACTAACTGCTGCCAACAAATAGCAAGAAATTACTAACTCTTTCCTATTGAAATATGTTCAATTGTATTTTTGGTATTTTAAGTTTCGAATTTTCTTCAGTTTTCATTCACTTTCAGAAACATGAGAGAGAAATTCTCAGTTCTCAGAAAAAGAAATTGAAAAAGTAGGTCGACAACACTAAAAAGTACTCATCTTCAATTTGGGCACTATCATGTTTTGTTTTTCAATTACAATGAGTGTGTATCAAATTGTCACTGGTGTTTCCAAGATACTTTTTCATTGTAGGTGTATTATTTATTATATTTGAGAAAAAAAATACTAGTCCCTGAAATTTATTTCAGATCTCTTTTAGAACAATGAATATGTATAATTTTGTTTCAACTTAAAAGGAGACACACTGTAAGAGAGAAAGGGCTGTGATTGAACCATTTCTGATGGAGGTTTTTATGGAGGATTCATATTTAATTTTATTATCAATCATCTCCATATACAAACAAAACAATTACCATTTTTGGCGGATATAATATTTGTTCAAGTTGACTAATCTCTCTTCATGGTTGGTCTTTCCAGATATCTTCTTATTTTCCCTCTCGCTTAGGTACCATCTAACTCGTATTTGGTTTAAATTATTTTTCAAATTTTTTTTAGACGTGATCTGCTGTCCACAATTTCGAAATAGTCCAGAAACACGATTCCTTTCAATTTCAACAATTCTTTTTAGAGATAATCTCATAATTCCACAAGCTCAGTAATATCAGCTTATTCTTATTGTACAAAATATCAAAGACTTGAGACTGATACAAGTAGAGGGGCTTTGTATGTTCTGGCTCAAGCCAATCAGAGACCAGCATCTAGTTGGAGGTTACAGAAATGCCACGGGAATGCCACCGAAGTATCACGGAAACGTCACGGGACATGAAAATGTCATAGAAATGCCACGGAAATGCCACCGAAGTGTCACGGAAACGTCAGGGGACTTGGAAAAATTACGAAAACGTCAAGAATATGTTACGGAAACGTCAAGGATATGCCACGAAAGAATTTCCATGTTCCGTGACGTTTTTTTAAAACTTCCGTGGCATTTCCTTGACGTTTCCGTGGCATTTCCATGACATTTCCATGTTCCGTGACGTTTTAGTAACACTTCGGTGGCATTTCCGTGCCATTTCCTTGGCATTTCCATGTAATTTCTAAGTTCCGTGACGTTTTCGTGACACTTCAGTGGCATTTCCGTGGCATTTCCGTGGCCTCCAACTAGATGCTGGTATCTGAATGGTTTGAGCCAGAACATACATATCCTCTCTACTGATACATGTCAAGTTGATTCCATT